TGATAAACATACAGGATGCCTCTCTGGAGACATGCATCTTTTAGGAACAGATACTCAGCTATATGCACAGCTCCATTAAAGGCAATGGATCCTCCCAAATGAGCATTTTTAGCAGTCTGTAATAATGTGATAGTAATACAAACTGCAGAGCTGGCTCCCAGACCTCCATACACAGGAAATACCATCACAACATCATGGCAGCCATAAAATATATCAGAATACCTCCAGTAATGGCAATTTAGAAAGTTAGTGTGCAGATTGTTCCGCGTGGTAAACCTCCAACGTAGCTGGTTAGCAGCTGTATATGTTCTAGAAAGAGAAACACTTCGTAAGGCTTTTCCAACAAGCCACAAATTGTGAGGACTGTTTTAAATACTTCTGTCATGCAGCAGTAATGTATGTGCAGCATTCAGCAGCACGTGCTGTCCTAGCCTGCCCTAATTTTATTAACCCTGTTTCGTGAGGGAGAAAATGTCATCCTCTTTTCAGAATATGGGTCATCTTAATGTTTATATCGAAATTATTTCAGTATTTTCCATTGTGATTTTAGATACACACAGTCTTCAGTGTTCTCTGGAACCTGGGAGTCAAAGCTGTAATAAAATAAAAAACCACAAGTCACATGCATTCCTAGGAGACAAAACTTGGGAGAAAAAGGTATAGACCTGTATGTATCAGCTTCAGGTGCACACACTGCTTAGAAAGGTATGCTGCCCTCCTGGGGAGCGGCCACACACAGCAGCAAAACCCTCATTAGGAAGGTGTGCATTTTCCAAGAAAGCCAGAGGATGGAAGGCTTCCAAAAGCCAGTGCCTTCCAGCCAAGGGACTGGAGCCAAGCTGGATGCTGTGCACTTTGGCCATGGACAAGTCATTATCAGCAGCATCTCTGTGCCTGACCAGAACATCTCAGCTGGTTCTTTGGGGTGCTTTTGTTTAATCAGCACTATTGCACTTTTAGCTGCAGACAGCTCAGACACTTCATGCAATAGGACATGCCACGTGCGCTCCTGGCACACCGAGATCCAGGGGCTGACAGCTGACCCCACGGCATCTCACTCCAGCAGTCTGCCATACATCACGAGGCTGGGACAGCCCCGAGGGTTCTGTGGGGTCTCCCAGGGGGAACAGCATCATCTCCAACACTCCATGCAGGAGGAGGGCACTTTCGGGTACCGTGCCATCAGCATGCCCAATGCTGCTTCAGGGACATCACTGCTTCCCTGGGAGCCCCAGCACTCCCACCTGCCTGCACCCTGACAGCAGCAGCGGGGGATAACCCTAGGGCAGCTTCACTCTGCAGCCTTCACACAAATTGAAATGTTGCTTCCAGAACCCCAAATGTAATTGGGGGTACGGCAAGGGCAAGCCAAGCTGCAACAACAGAGGGCTCAATAAAAGTGTCAGACTGAAACAAAAGCACTGCCAGGAGTCTCCCAGCTCAGCGAGAGAGGCGAGCAACTCTCATGAGCAACAAGTGCCCTTTTGCTTTTAAAGCTCTTTGGGCAAGCTTTCATCCCAGCAACATACCTTCTCAGTACAATACCTGCCATATTCTGTGCTTCCTAACACCACCACTTCCGTGCAACCTGCTTCCTCAGAGCGAGGAAAACTTTGCCAGGAAGCACATAGGTTGAAGCCAGGCTAGCAGTTTGATGTGAGAACAGCAGCAGCTACAAGCCAGGCTTATCAGTGTAACAAAAGTCCTTTATTTCTAAGATTTGTTCTTGTTCTGAGTCCTATTTGTTAACTGAACACTCAGTTGACACAGTTCAACCAAAATGAAAGCCCAGGTGTATTCACCAGCACCACACACACCTGTCCTTACAGTGAGTGCACAGGGACTGATTTTTCGGTGTAGAGAGCAGACATCCCCATAATGAAATCCTCCACTCCCAAAAAATCAGACCTGTGTCACAGAACGAGACCTTAATTGATGGTCACAATGGCAAAAGTCTTTTTAGGTTTAGAAGCCACAAAACAACTTGTGTTTCATGTAAATAGACACAAAGTGCTTTATCAGGTGAAAGGTAATCGCTGGCAAAAGCACTCAGTGCGGCACGGCGTCTCCTCTTATCTCCTCTCCCCAAACACAGGTCTGCTGGTCACTGGTGGAAGCGCTGCCCACAGAACAAAGCTGATCTGTTACGTTGCACAGAACTCCGTGAGGTCGTGCATTTGCACTGTCAGCAGTTCCTTAGAACACAATCTCCTCCATGTCAGCGCTAATAACGGAACTGAGAGAGATCATTGGCTGAGGGAATTATTTTTTCCCTATAAGGATGGAAAGAATTGGGAAGAGTGCTCTTTCTCTTGAATATATTTGGCTCTGTGGAAGACACACGTGATGCAAATGTTACTATGGAAACTATTCTATTAAATAATATTAAATTAAATTTACATATTTAAAGTGCACACAAACGGTCCAGGTAGAAACCTAATTAGCCTACACTGGACTTGAAATTACAAAGTAGAGCCTCTCAGAATTGTCAGTTTTCCTTCAAAAGAAGCTTGGTTTTGAGCAAGCTGCTCCTCTGCACCCCTTTCTTCACAAATGTAGCATTTGCACCCCTGTTATTCCAAAAAGTCATTTTTCGAAGTAATTTGTAGACACAAGCGCTGCTCTAGTTCCCTTGGTGATGAAATTACCATAGCATTACAGAGGAAAAACCCAGGAGCTGAGTTCCATTTGAAAGGACAACGCACTGACTGCAGCTGTGCCACCATAGTGGTGAGCATATTTGAGTAGCTCCCTTCACACCTCGCCACACACAGCATCCAAGCCCTTCCCAACCAGCAGGAGCTGCGTGCAGGGCTGGAGCAGCCTTGTCCTTCCTGATGCTGTCAGGGCACAGCAAAGTTGCAAAGTTTCCCACTCTGTGGATTAAGGTTTAGACTATTTTTCACTTCCCATCTCCAGCTCCTGAGTGTTGGAGAGCCCTTCCCAACGCAGCTACCCAAAAAACCAAGCTGTCCCACAGCTCCTCTCAAGGAGCCAACTTCCCATTTGCCATCGAATAATATTGAACTCAAGCTCTGTCTAATATCAAGCTGCAGCTCAGGCCTCTTCTGCACCGGCTGGGCACATCCACAGCTGATTGAGGAGGAAAAGCCAGCAGGGGTGAGGAGAGTTACTGGGGCTGTGCTGTGAAGTGGGTGCTGGCAGCTGCAATGCTGCTTCGGGCAAACATGCTTGTCCTGTATCTGAAGATCTCAGGTTAATCATAATTAACCCAAGTACCCACTTTCACTTGGATTTCATAAATCAGGACACTGGGCTCTTAAGCAGCTTATAGGGAACACAAGTTACAGGAGGAAGCCTGCAATTGTATTTCAAACGTCTGAGCAATATTTTAAACTGAAAACTTTAAGGAGAAAAAGCTCTACTGTTAACAAAACTACTTACTCCCAGGTAAGAGGGGGCACCAGGGCATGAACAGGGCACCTCATGCCCACAGCTCCAGCCTCTGTCACCAGGTAGCAGCTACTGGCCTCCTCCCTTTGGCCAGTCAATGGGACAGCATTCCCAGAGCAAAGGGAAGCCTGGAATGACCAGTTCTGGGCTCTTCACTTTAACAACTGTCTAAGGCACAGTCACTCTGGGACATCTTCACTAAAGCACTTTCTCCATTAATAGGGCTTCCACTCATCTCAGAGCAGATGCGTTTTGTTCACATTCCTGCTAGGTTTCACTGCCACAAAATGGAAAGATGTGTCAAAGTTTAATCTTACTTTTTATTCACGCAGGAACAAACTGAATACCAATACATACTCAGTTCTGGAAGGATGGCCATGGTACACTGATCCTGCCAGACTTACTACAGGCTCTCTCCAAATGACGTTATCTCCATCTGTCACTGAATCAGATGGTTCTTAAAGAGTGAACAATGCTCAGAAGTACAGGTACAAGAAAAACAGCATCTTCCCTTTGGTGCAGGAACATATTAAAAACCCAAACAAGTCAGGGAGATGAACACTATAGGTTCTATTGAACATGGGCATGCAAAGAGAATGAAGCTTACTTGTCATCAGCAAACACTTCCCGATGACCAAACACACCCCACAATAAATCTGGACGTAAAACTCATGCTACAAACAATTCAGAACTGCCCAATTAATAACCCATCAGCTGTCAGTAAACACAAGAAATAAGTTGCCTTCCTGTCCTGAGGTGCAGGTTCGTTTATGAAGGCACTCGACAGGCACAAAGCCTCCCTCCGGGCTGAGCTCCCGCACCGTGCGCAGGAAGGAGCTGGAGATGCAGCGGCTCGTGAGGGTCAGAGCGGATGCCCGAGGGGCACCTGCTGCTACTGCCGAAACCAGGAGCTTGTCATGAAAGCACAAGAACAGACTTAAGTTTAAAATGAAATAAGGAACTAAAGGAGGAATGGGGATCTGGGGATTTTTTGTTTTGTCAAACTCTCACGCGATAGTCTTTAAAGCCCTAAAAGGTACCGACAAGATCGACACCTGTCCCACACGGAGCTCAAAACCTCGATGCGTTAACAACCCCATCCCAGGAACACCGAGGCAGCTGCAAACCGCACCGCAAGGCAAAGCCCCGGCCCTACCTGCCCAAAGTTCCCCAGCACGCCCCGTTCCCGAGGGCACCTGCAGCCTCGCTCCTCCAGCCATCCTCCTCCTACTCCTCCTCCTCCTTCTCCCCGGCTCTCAGCGCTCCACCACCGGCGGCCCCGGCCCAAAGTTGGCGGCTCCGGGTAGCGGCACCTCGGCATCAGCGCACCCACCGGGAGAGGAATAGTAAAAAATACACATATATGCATACAGATACGTATACGAGCACATATGAGACGCATATGAGATTCATGCATTTAAGATGCTTTGATTCATCTCCCCCTAGATTTTCACCTCGCCTGCGGAGACACTCGGAGAGCACAGTTTGCAAAAAAACAAGACAAAGACAATTACACGAAAAGGAAAAAAAAGAAGAAGAAAACAAATCCCCAAGGCAGGTGCCGCCGGGAGGGGACCAACACTCACCCCCAGCCGCCTGCTCCGGATGCGCACGTAGCCCTGCTTCACGATGTCGTTGAAATTGGAGGCCATCCTTCTCCGGGAAAGTTAGAGGCAGCCGGCGGGGTCGGGGCGGCTCAGGCACCCCTACCGGCACAGCAGCAGCCTCCAGAAGAACCGCGCCCGCTCCACTCCGCTCCGCCCCACTGAGCGGCCCGCGACGGGCAGGGCTGTGGGCAGGGCTGCGCTAATGCCCGCCCCGCGTCCTCCATCGCTCCTCTTCTGAGCCCAGCTGTCCAATTCGTTTCTAAGGAGCAGAATACTGAGGGTTGCCCGTTTCTGGGGAGTTGCGTTGAACTGCCCGCTTGGTGCGCGCCGCTCCGCCGTGCCCCTGTTAGCCCGGCTGCAGGAAGGTGGGCTGGCAGCGGTCAGCCCTGCCCTTCTGTGCCGAGGAAACCGCTCCCACCTGCGGTTTTTCTCAGGAAAGTGGGTTTCCCAGAAAGTCTTTCAGATGCCTGAAAGCCTGCCAGGTGGCTCAGCCCCAGCATCTCCTGACGGCCGGTAACCGGAGCTGCGCCCTGCGCTCTGGACGGGGTCCCATGGCACGCTTCCCGTCTTGGAAATGTCACACGAGCACGCGCTGCATTTTCCAGCACCGTGTGCTGCTTGCGGTAAGGGATGAGCGCCTGGCGCTGGGCCCGGGGGTTCCCTCCTGCAGCCTCACATCTCCTTTTCCAGGAACGTGCAGACACTGTCAAGCACTGGGGCTCCAAGGACCCTGCTTGCTCTCTGTAGGTTACCTGTTAGTGGTACACTATAAATACTGTGTCCTGGAAAGAGGAACCATTCATCTCCTTATCACATCTTTTAATAGCATCCCAATTATAGGCAGTCTGAGGAGGAGGTCAGCCAGATGACTTTGACAATTATCATGCCCTGCAAATGACAAAGTGAGTAGAGAGAAGGCAAGCAGAGCAGAGCAGAGCTCAGCAAGGAGGGCATCTCGCAGTTGAGCCGAGCACCAGGCAATGTGGGAATGATGCCTATGTTGATTTGGTCATTCAGTTACTACGAAACTCACTTGTAATAAGACTGGCCCTTTTCTAAATCCACAGCTCCTTCAGATTGGAAACAGTCACAACAGTGCTGGTTGCTCTGTTGTGGGAGCAGCTTGGTGCTTTCTGCTCTTGCTTGAGGTGACTTTGCTTTGCAAGGATTTACAAAGATATTAATTGACAAGTGGTTATGGAGATAGAGCATAAGGCTTTCTAGCTGAAGGGCTAATTCACTTAGGATGAATGAGACAACTCTGCAGTCTTGTTTCAGATTCTACATTACCATTTTACATTTCCCTCTCCTTTTCACTAATTCACAGAACACATAAAATAACACAGTTAGAAGCAACAAAAGCAGCAACACTCATGAACCAAAACACTCCAGAAATCAGATTATTCTAAGACGAGTCCTTGCACTCAAGAAAAAATGTCCTCAGAAATTGCATATTACAAAGCATATGCACCTCAGTTCAGACCTGCCAAACAGTGTAATCTTCTAAAACATGTTGTATCCAAGAACATGGATAACATCAGTCCCCTGACAGGTTGGATGTCAGTCCTGGCTGAAAGCTCGAGGAGTTGAGATTCCCACCCTGCTGCTCCTTGCAGAGCAGTGTGCATTCAGTGTGTAAACGTATCTCACAATCTCAAGCACCATGAAAACAGCAATGCTGGAAGAATCAAGTGTAGTCTGAAATGAGAGAGCATTTACTTTGATTTCACAGATATTTGTGACAGGAAACAAATTACAGAACCACTTCAGGTGTCTTTTCAGCAATTTTGGGCTCTGCTTCTAATCCCCCCCAGTGCCCATAGACACATCCCACCGAGTCGGTCAGCAGCAGCGCGCTCCTGGCAGGTACGCACATCCCTAAAAGCTCTGCTAATTAAAGGCAGACTTAATCCTGTGCTCATTCTTTGATGAATTAGGATATTAGTGTCCATTTATGATTCGCCTTTGAACAACCCAAATCCCTCAGCGTGCTATAGTTCAAAGAGAAAATGCATTTTAATTTCCATGCGTGCAACACGCTTCAAGAACGTGCCAGAAAATCTCATTGCTTGGGTTTTCAGCCCGCTGCCATCACTGTGAAACAGAACTGCTGACCAGGTTTTCAATACTGATACAAATGAGTTCTCTTGTTGTTTTGACAGCAGTGCTTCCCATTTCCTGGAGCCTATGGACCATCGGCACTCCCTGTAAGGAAATGCTGCCCCATTATCTTGATCCCAAACTGTACAAAACCTTTTCAATAAGCTTTCCTTGATATGTAAATTCTTCTCCTTTTAATGGCAATGTTATTTACTTACACTTCTTATTTCAGGGGTCACTTTGAAGTACCAGACTGCTGCTAATAGCTTAAGTGGATTGTTATTGCTTTCTCATCTCGCAGTGCCATGTCACCATACTGCCCTGCAATGAGCTGCCTCACTTTGGAGGCTCCAAAACTAGAAATGGCTGGTATGCATTTTCACTGAAAATGAAGGGATCCATTTTTTTTCCAAATGCCATACTGACATTTGCAAAAGAAGCCATGTTCACCTCTCTGTATTTGAAGCATGTCATCCTCTGTGTTTGCAGTGTGGTTTCATCAGCCTAAAGGTGACGTGTGGCAAAGATGGCTGGGTTGTACTGCAGGTAGAGGAGCTGCAGAGCCCACTGGAAGGAAGCAGCATTTTCTGGTACTTGTGCACACAGATGGAGCTGCTACAAACCTGACTAAGAAAGGTCCTGATGTGATCACCCTGAAATTATTTTCTGGAAATGTACAACATGCATCAATAGTTTGTTGGGTTTTTTTATTAAAAGGACCCGTAGCATTTTGTTTCCATAAGGTCAGGATGCCAACATTTTCCCACTATTCTTTTGATTTTTCAGAGTATTTTCAGAAATGATAACATCACAGTGAAGTGCTCTGACCTTATCAAGTGCTCGGAGGTTAGCAGAATGCAATATCTCACATGCAGTACCTCCCTGAAGAGCCTTTGACATTCCTTTTCCTATTTCTGCTTTGGTGTGAGACAAATTTTTGACATTTCATTTTTATTTTTGTGGAAATTGTGAATTTGGACTAATTCTACCTGCAAGGAAATGCAGCTGATAATGAGCAAAAATAAAAAGGGATCATTGCTTATAAAAAAGTGCTGCCTTGGTTTTGTTGTTCGCTTTACTAATCTGTTGCAAACCCTGAAATCCTCTCTGTGCAAAGCAAAATCTGTAGGGTTGCCTTGGATGATTAAGCAAACCTCGGCCTGTTTAATTCTGAAAAATGGAAATGAGTCTACTTGGAATTTACCCTACTTTGCAGTGCAGGGATTGGTTTTGTCACCTCTCTGTGGCTCGTCCCCTTGCTGAGATTCATGAGACTGAGCATCCCACCCCCATTACATAGCATGGGCACAGAGTTACTCACACCATAAATGCCCATCAGTGTGAGCAGCCAATAATCAATATTTAATGACAATAAATAAGCCATTAAGCAGGCCAGTGTGTAATTTTGCATAGCAGCAGTGCAGTATCTGGCAGTACCTTACCTCTGTGCTACTCACTCCAGTGATTTTGCTTCGTGCAGAGCGAGGCAGGGAGAGGCAGAAAAGGGAGAGGGAGGAGGGAAACAGCAAATGAAATGCATCTGTTTAATGAAACCCTGGTTCTGACTGTAATATTTTGTCCCTAACAAAATTACTGTCAACGCAATGCATGTTAAGATAGAAAAAAATATATAGTGAGTGAATCTGCAGGCCAAGTGAATGCAGGGCAACGTTAGATACTGAACAACCAACATTCATTTTGCTTGCTTTGTGTTTCAGTGACTGATACGTTTAAGCAACTTTTTCATTCTCATTTTCCTGCAGACATACATCAAGGGCCTTCCTGCCTCTGCAGAACACGGCTGTGGGGATTAAGCAGGACGGAGTGGCAGGTCATGAGGTCACCATCCATCCTTCCTGTTCCTATACGTAATTTATCAGAGCCTGCAGTGTATCAAAGCACAGCTCTGGGATTGACAGCTCGCTCTGATCTTTGGCTGTGGAGGAGCTGGAGTGATGGAGCCTGTGTAATTGCAGCCTTCCTGGCTGCATGTTTGATATTTCCTGTACCAGGCAGCACAGGAATGCTGCTTCCAGCATAGGTCCCAAAAAACACAACTGGGCATAGCAGTGCAATGGGGAGGACTTATTCACATCTATAAGCTTGGACTTGGGCTGCTCGGATCTCTTAGGTCCATTTCTTGGTCAATTCTGCAGTCAAGGGGTGAAATGCTGCTCTAAAAGCCCTGAATGGCCCAACTGGCACTGATAATCAACTGACACCCCTGGAACAAGGCAACCTCTTCCAAGACAGTGAAAGGCTTCCTCAAGACTCAAACTGCTGCCAGAAAGCAATCCCCCACGTTTCAGATTAAACCCAGATATTAAGACTTATGCTTCAAAATTCAGATGGAAGCTTCTTTACATCATATCACATTTTTAAACGTTTCTGAATTTGACTTCAGTGCACATATTTGTGGATATTCCAATAGTGATTGATTCCAGTGAAATTTATTTCCCATTGTTTTGCCCTAAATACTAATTACTGAGCTAATGTCAAGATAATTTGATGTCTGTGTTAACAACATGTCTACAAGGCAAACTCTTATCTTGTCTCAGTGCGTATTTATTGCTGCACATCTACTGAAAATTTATGCCTGAAATTTTTTTTGATATTTTTGTTGCTGTTAAATGAAGTAGAAATAACTATATATTCTAATTATAGTATTTGCAGATGGCATTTGGAAAAGATATCAAATAGAGTCAGTTTGCAATGCAGAGTTTGATATTTTGTGTGCTGCCTCCTATAATAAGTAGATTTGGGGCTGGATTGTAATGTTTCTTCGTGTAGTTATGCAGTGAAATTTGTGTGAGCATTTCCCAGAACTGGGCATCTGAATAAAATGAATGAACACAAAAGGAAGTATCATTCAGCACTGCAGCATGACTTGCAGGTAGGAGAAGCCAGGGCTCTCGCTGAGCCATGCATGTTGGAGCTATTGAAAGGGGAAGATATGGAGGATGGATTCTGTTCACCACGGCATCCTCCC